ATCATATTGCAACAGCCGCCCCGCTCCAGGGAGAGCAGAAAGACCTCTCTCCCTCTCTTCACGTCTCTCCTCTCCTTTGAACTCTCTCTGTGAGCCCACCTTTCTTCTCCCTTCCTCTCTCTCTCTGCAGGACTCCTTATTCCTGCTTTCCTCCTCTCCTGACTCATCTCATCCCCCTCTCTCTCTCCGCCACCCCCACTCCCGTGCTCTCCCTCTCTCTGCCCTCCCCCTCCCTCTCCCTCTCCCTCTCTCTTCGTTTCTGTCTCTCTCTCTCTCTTTCTCTCCTCTCTTTAGCTGCATCTCTCATGTTGCACCAGGCAGTTGTGCAGAAATGTTCACTCCAGTGACTCCAGTGGGCAAAGGGACAGCCGAGGAGACAAGGCAAGATTTAAAACTCCACTGATCAAAAAAAAAAAGGAAGCAAAAATATCTTAACATTTTTTACAAAAAAATGTGTTTGTTGTAATATTAGACGTGGTGCATGCTCTCTCCCATTGAATTAAACTGTTGCTGCGTGGTATCTTGTAAATGCAATCTCTTGTTGTGTTCTACAGCTCATAACAGATAAAGACAACTGTGGCAAGGGATCTGCATGCTCAATTGCTCTGCAAGATGAAACTAAAATCTCTAATTAGACTAATACAGCATGATAGGATGTTGTGAAGATACTGGGGCATTTAACTCCTGTGTGTTTGCTGTTTGTCTGTGACATGGTATAATGTTTGATGACAGACGTATTAATAGTTGAGGAGCTGTCCCTCTGAAGGCATGCTTCTTCCCTTTTATGGTGTTTTTAGTGACCTTAATTGTTAGGAATATTAATTAGGATCAAGTTAGAATTTGCTGCGTTTGAGGTGTTTTATATCTTGAAGTTGTTCATTGATCTCAAACCAAGTAATTGGCTTTTGCTTTGTTACCCTCAAGTATGCTTTGATTCGGTTCCTCAGTGCCTGTGTCTTAGAAAGGGTCTGAGATTTGTTACATCACCAGAGGACTTCAAAGCATTTAGAACTTCCTGTGAGAAGTACAATTAACCTCTTTGCAAGTAATAAGGAAAGATCTGAACTTCATAATGAATTTACTTGAACTTACTGAAAGGGGGGTTTAAAACGGAAGTCGGATCTTATATTGCTGCTGGTTCTTCATCTTTGTGATCTACCACATGCGATGCAACTTGCTAACATGTCTTGTGCTGTGTTTAGTAAGGAGCCATAGATGGAGGAATTGTGTCTGAGCAGAAAGCTGTAGTTTGTACTGAGGTGCTCATACCTCATGGTCCCAGTAAGGGTCTGGCTTATTTGGTGGTAATGGGCCAGTATTATCTTGCTTTCCAAGATGCTGTTTAGCCATTGTTAGCACTACGTTTTAAGGAATGCCCTTGATTGCTTTACAGTATATCCCTGTTCTTCCGTAGCTGTGAAAATCTGCAAAACAACATGTGCTTTTTTATTTCTCTGATACTTTACAAGCTCCATGAGAGTGAGAGTGAGAGACAGGAGTGACTGTGGGTCTGGGGCTCCAGGGAGAGTGAGAGAGAGTGAGAGGAGTGACTGTAGGTCTGGGGCTCCAGGGAGAGTGAGAGAGTGAGAGAGGGGA